AAATCTGATGCTATTGATATAAGCTGTATGTTTATTACAATTTTAGGGCACTTTAATAAAGTGGATAGTTGTTCCCAGCAAGATAATAGATAAGCTCCCCAATAACAATAACATCATCCAAAAAGAGTATATAAGAGAATTTCCTAAGGTCAAAATCTGTTAGAAACTTACTTTGTTGATTTATACTATGTCTTTTGTTCCAGTTAAGGGCTGAGACATTTTAACCTGATCTAAAATTACTAATATATAATGAATCCAGCCTACTATGTGTACTTTTCCACAAAATGTTTGTCTTTGTTCCAGATACTAAAAGGATTTCAAAATTTAACATGATATTTTGCAGGTTGTAGTAATCAATTATTTACTATTTGGAGTTAACATCATGGGAAGATTTACAGAGAGACAAACAAATCTGTCCGATACATATTTAAAGCCATGTAAAATCATATTATGGAGTTTCAGTGACACTAAATCAAACCTCTCTTGCTGGGTTCAGTCCTGCTGTACTCCATAACCCTATGGAGTGAAACTTCCTCCACATACGTGTGTTTCCAAATCTGGTGGATGAGTTTGAGAGAGGAATATAAGTTCTACCTCTGCCCCCTTGTGGAACACAGTTCCTCTCATTGGTGTAACTTACCAAGAAAATGGTCCATCCATTTTCTGGAGTGTCTTGAAGAAGGGCACTTTGTGCCCAAAAGCTTTTCTAAAAGATATCACAAAAACTCTTGCTTCTGAGTTTCTAAGTTGTTTTTACAGTTAGCCCAAGTACAGCTAGGTATGGTAAACAAGCCAAGAGATATCAGGGGTAGCAGCCCACATTGAGATCTAAGAGGAAGAAGCATAGATTCTTTGGTAGCCATAGATGAAAGAAGGTGCTTCTGGCTTATGATATGACCTGAACAGTGATGAGGGAGGTGATATTTGAAGGCTGTGGACCATCCTGACAACCAATGCTGCCAGATCCCCAGAATTTATATTTCCTGATCAGCATCCTCTCTATATTGTATGCACTGACTTTCTGCCAGCTGGCTTCCACCCAAAACAATTTCTGTGAATATTGGATAAGCTTGGTGACCAGAGTGTCTGGGTCTGGTGGAAAGGAGACAAACTGCTAAGTATAATCAGTGCACTTTGATGCCGTCATCCCTATTACTTCATGAAATCTCCAGGGACTTCATCTAAATGCTGAACAGCTGAGGAAAACGGGATTGAGCTGTAAAGGATTTCACAGCTGAGCATCCTCAAGAAGAAGAAATACTTGCCCGTCATCACCCTCTGGAAATGATTAGAAAAGAATGAAGCAGAACTGCTCTAAGGCAATTGCATCCATCCATAAGGTCCCACGCTCTTGTTATTAACTTCCTGTGATCATCTGTATCCAAGATTACTAAAGCAGAATCATCAGGGTTGTCTGGCCTCTGGTCATTGTCATGAGAGGCTTACCAACTATGAGGCTTGTTGGTGGCCTAAACCTTATTTGGGCCTGAACAATTAAGTGCAGGGAACTTAGACGGCAGATATTGAAGTTGACCTGCCATCTTCTTTTCAATGATTATTCTCTGAAAAGAATATTATGAGACTGAGCAATAGTTGACAAGGGTAATTTGACACGTTCTTGAATCTGTTTAACTGGTTCTTTAACAGATTTTTGGTCATGCA